TCTCTCTCTCTCTCTCTCTCTCTCTCTCTCTCTCTCTCTCTCTCTCTCTCTCTCTCTCTCTCTCTCTCTCTCTCTCTCTCTCAATCTCTCAATCTATGAATCAATCAATCAATCAGTCAATCAGTAAAGGGGGGGGAGGCGCACGGGAGGCGACCCCCCCGACAGCCAATCAATCAATCAGTAACTCTGTGTGTGTGTGTGTGTGTGTGTGTGTGTGTGTGTGTGTATGTGTGTGTGTGTGTGTATGTGTGTGCACGGGAGACGACCCCGCCCGCAATCAATCAATCAGTAACTGTGTCTGTGTGTGTGTGCACGCGCACGGGAGGCGACTCCCCCGGCAACCAATGAATCAATCAACCAATCAATCAACCAATCAGGTCATGAATCAATCCAAGGTGCTTGATTGATTGAGTGAGTGAGTGATCAACCCTCCCAATCAGGGTTGGGTTTGGAAAGAATATGTACCTCGGTGCAGGCACGAACTTTTGATTACAAAAGGTCGCGAAGGGTTGTGATAGAGGGTGGGGAGGATCGGAATCAGGGTAGGACGACTTCTGAATTGGTTGAGGCATCGAAATTAATCAATCAATCAATCAAGTTGGGGTCGGTGGGTTGAGGGATCAGAATCAATCAAGTTGATTGATTGATTGATTGATTGATTGATTGATTGATTGATTGATTCCGATCGCAGTGGGCAACATGTGTGTGCGTCTGTGTGCGCCCAAGGAAAATTAGTGATAGCGAATTCCAGAAACCAAGCCGAAATAGTCTCTTCATCATCATCATCATCAACCAAGTCGTTTTCCAGACATCAATCAACCAAGTCGTTTTCCAGACATCAATCATCATCATCGAAATAGTCTCTTCATCATCATTAATCAACCAAGTCGTTTTCCAGACATCGATCAACCAAGTCGTTTTCCCCCACCCGACGCTCAACGCCAGGCTCGGGGGTTTCTAATTAAAATAACAAAGCGTAAAAAAAACGAACTTCAAGAAAAATCGTGTGCTGGTTTGCCACGTGGCAAGTTCCCACGTGACAACTGCGCGCATTACGACAGGAGGAAGAAGAAGAAGAAGAAGAGAAAGAAGAAGAAGAAGAAGAAGAAGAAGAAGAAGAAGAAGAAGAAGAAGAAGAAGAAGAAGAAGAAGAAGAGGAAGAAGAAGAAGAAGAATTGAAAGAAAAAAAAGCACGGTCGTTGCCACGTGGGTCGGGATCGGCGGTTCGGATCATCGCGATCGGGATCGCGGTGAGAAGAGGCGGAGGAGATGGATGTGGAGGGTAGGTGGACGAAGAAGCGCAAGACAACCGGGGAGAAGCGGGGAGAAGCGGAAGTGGCGAGAAGCGGAAGCGGGAGGCGGAGGTGGCGATCTTGCCACGTGGCCATCTTGTCACGTGGGAGGGGAGGTGGCGAGCTTGCCGCGTGGCGAACTCGTGATTCCCACATGGCGATCAATCCAAAACATTGATTCCCACATGACGATCAATCTGAAACATGGGAGGGGAAGGTGGTGATCTTGCCACGTGGCAAAATTGATTGATTGATTGATTGATTGATTGATTGATTGATTGATTGATTGATTGATTGATTGATTGATTAATTGAAAACGGGGAAGGCGGAGGTGCGAAGATGGGCGGAGGTGCGGGGGATGGCGGAAGTGTGGGGTGAGCCGTAAGACCGGGGAAAGCAGCGGAGGGGTCGGAAGGAGGAGCAACCAATCAATCAGTCAATCAATCAATCAGTCAATCAATTGACAAATCAACCAATCAATCAATCAATCAATCAATAAAGCGAAGATGGCCGGAACGGAGGTGAGCGGGCATAGAGGAGATGGCCGCGTGGACCGCAGATGCGCCGAGATGGGCGGAGGTGGCCGGAGGTGGGCAGGTGGAACGAAGGTCGGCGGAGGTGGGCAAGGTTGCCGAAGGTGGGCAAGGTTGTCGGAGGTGGGCAGAGGCGGGCGGAGGGGATCGAGATCGAGATCAGGAAGCCGAAGCGGAGGTAGCGAGGTTGCCACGTGGTGAACTTTGCCACATGGCGAACATGCCACGTGGCGAACTTCCCACGTGGCGAACTTCCCATGTGGCGATCTTGCCACGGGCCGAAGTGGAGGGGGAGGTGGCGAACTTGCCACAGGCTGGAGCGGAGAGCGGAAGCGGAAGCGGCGAGAAGCGGAGCCCGAAGCAGAGAGCAGCGGAGCCCGAAGCCGAAGCGGGGAGAAGCAGGGAGAAGCGACGACAACCGGGGAGAAGCGGGGAGAAGCGGAAGTGGCGAGAAGCGGAAGTGGGAGGCGGAGGTGGCGATCTTGCCACGTGGCCATCTTGCCAAGTGGGAGGGGGAGGTGGCGAGCTTGCCGCGTGGCGAACTCGTGATTGCCACGTGGTGATCAATCAATCAATCAGCAAAGGGGGGGGGAGGGGGAGGCATCGAAATCAATCAATCAATCAACCATTCAATCAGTCAATCAATCAACATCAATCGATTGATTGATTGATTGATTGATTGATTGATTGATTGATTGATTGATTGATTGATTGATTGATCGATTGATTGATTGATTGATTGATTCCAATCGCGGTCGGGAGCATGTGTGTATGTGTGTGTGTGAGTGCAAGGAAAATGAGTGACAGGGAATTCCAAAATCCAAGCCACATCATACACACGACAACAGATAGTCGTTACCTTTAACCAAGAGCACAATCTGAACCCTGATTGCGTTTCGCACGGAGGTACGGCCGGGCGGGGTGCGTTTCTCTCCCTCCAGATTCAGATCACTCAAGACAACTATGGCGCGTGGCGCCCAACAATCCCTCCCGACCAAGAAGAAGTAAAGGAAGAAGAAGACGAAGAAGAAGAAGAAGAAGAAGAAGAAGAAGAAGAAGAAGAAGAAGAAGAAAAGAAGAAGAAGAAGAAGAAGAAGATGAAAAAAAAGAAGATGAAGAGGAAGAAGAAGACGAAGAAGAAGAAGTAGAGGAAGGAGAAGCCGAAGACGACGACGACGAAGAAGAAGAAGTACGAACGGAGTTGAAGAAAGGGGAAGAGTAACCTACCAGCAGACCCCCATATCTTCCTCTTCTCTTCTTCTTGTCAAATCCAAAGGTCGCAAAATCCAAACGTCGCAAAATCCGAATGCCACAAATTATCTTCTCGTAAAATCTCTCTCTCTCTCTCTCTCTCTCTCTCTCTCTCATATGGTCTCTCTCTCTCTCCCGTCTGCGTGCTGAGGTTGCTCGAGCTCAAGCGCCTCAACATGAAAGCTCCCCCCTCGTGCACAGTATTTATGGCAAAGAGAGGGAGTAACGAACCAAGGAGGTGCGAAAGTGATGGAGAGAGAGAGAGACAGAGAGAGAGAGAGACAGAGAGAGAGAGAGAGACCCCCGTACCTGCATCGAGGCGCAACCTTTGCGCACGTCAGTATCTGTTACACAGAGAGAGAGAGAGAGAGAGAGAGAGAGAGAGAGAGAGAGAGAGAGAGAGAGA